GTGACTTCATGGACTTGTGCCATGTTTTGGTTTGGCCGCCCCCATCTTTCTTCCAACCTACTCCTATACCACTGAACATAGCACGTCGAGGCAGTCGGTGGTTGGGCATACGTAACACATGTCCCAGCCATCTCAACTGATGAAGTTTCACTACGTCATCAATTGATTTTCCATCCTTACCTAGTACCCGTTTCCTAACAACTGTGTTACTTACTCGATGGTCCCAGGATATACGAGCAATGTTTCGAAGACACCTATGATCAAATACTAGTAGCCTACGGATATCCTCTACTCTTACCGGCCATGTTTCACTGCCATAAAGTAGGACGGAACGAACTGCTGCGCAGTAAACACGTCTTTTGGTTGGTTGACGGATATCTCGCCTACGCCATAAATGACGCAAGTTGACGAAAGCTAGTCGAGCCTTCTGTATCCGTGCTGAGATTTCGTCACACACCAAACCACAAGGGCTGATGAGACTTCCAAGATAAGTGAGGCGATCGACACGCTCAACTACTTCACTCCCTATCATTAGTTCGGGTGTCAATGCAACCCAATCCTGAAGCAACATTTTGCATTTCGAGAGGGAGAATCGCATCCCGAACATGCTTGCATTGTTGCTTAGAGTGGTCAGAAGACTGCATTTTGTCAGCGTCTTCACCAAATAAAACTATGTCATCAGCATATTCTAAGTCAACAAGTGAACCTCCCGGTAGAAGTTCAACCCCTGGAAATTTAGATGAGGAGAGTGTTATTTCTAAAAGTACGTCGATCACAAAGTTGAACAAGAATGGAGAGAGTGGACAGCCCTGACGAACAACACTTGAGGTAATCAATTCTGATGACAGTTCGCCATAAGCTCTCACTCTACCAGTTGTGTTCGAGTAGAGAGCCTTTACAAGGTTAATGTACTTCTTTGGTACTCCTTTCAGTGACAAACACTGCCATAAAACCTCACGATCAACAGAGTCGAATGCTGCCTTGGGGTCGAGAAATACTACCATTGTGGGGCGTCTGAACGTGTGTCTGTGTTCTAGAACTTGACGTAGTGTGAATATCTGATCTATACAACCACGTCCAGGTCGAAAACCAGCCTGATTTTCTCTAGTCTGTTCTTCACGAGCTTCGGTTAGGCGTCGAAGTAGTATTGAAGCTAATATTTTAGACACTACATTAGTCAAACTGATTCCTCTGTGATTGTAACAAGAGGACTTTTGTCCTTTCTTATAGACTGGCACAATCAGTGATTGAGACCAGCCAGATGGGATTACGTTCAGTTCCCAAATTCTACCTAAGACCTCGGTTAATCTCATTGCTAATACTGGACCACCATCCTTAAAAATCTCAGGAGTAAACCTGTCAGGGCCTGCTGCTCTCCCTCGTTTCAGATTTCCTATGGCTTTTTCAACTTCGTAAAGGGACGGAGGACCTACATTAACTTGCCATTCAGGTTGACTAGAGATCGTGGGAAACCGAAGTGTGGCTGAAGGCCAGTTGAACTGATCCCTAAAGTGTTCTGCCCATCGATCCAATCTCCTGGATTGAGAATGAATAATATGTCCATCTTTCTCTGAGATTGTTTCGCTAACGGTCGGGTTCCTAATTCCGGTTTCCTTAACGAGTCTGAACAATTGTCTGCTATTACCTATTGCAGCTGCCTTTTCCATCTCTCTTGCTTTCGCTACCCACCACTGTTCGCGATCGTTGCGTAGGCTTCTGGTCAGCTTGCGCTTAAGCTGACTCCGCTCTTCATTATGTTCAGAGCCAGGTGGAATGAGTTTCCGAGCATCTATCAGTGAGATAGATGCTGCTGAGATCCAGTGTTGCTCCCTAACCTTCTGATTTACCTTACTTGCAGATATCACTGCTGTTTCCACAGCTTTTCGGATATCATTCTATGCTGCATCGGGGTGGGCATCACATACATGGCTGCCTAACTGTTTTCCTAGTTGTTCCTGAAATATACTCTTAGCTTGACTATCATTAAGTAGGCCCCTAAGAGGTTTTCTTGCAGCGTCTTTCCTACGTCCAGTTAGACGCAAACAAATACGCGCTCGCACTAGAGCATGATCTGAATCTAGGCTTCCAACAATCGCCAACACTAATCAGCGTTGCGCGTCGTGGTAATCGGTGTTCAGACAGGCATGCACAACACGTGACCCAACCATCTCAGTCGATGAAGATTCACAACCTCGTCAACTGATTTACCATCATTCTCTAATAGCCTGAGTCCAACCTCAATATTACTTGCCAGGTGATCCCAGCAGATGCAAGCAATATTTCTAAGACATCTGTGATCAAATACTAGTAGTTTCCGAGTATCTTCTGCTATTAATGGCCACGTTTTGCAGCCGTTAAGTAGAACATAACGAACTGCTGTACAGTATACTCGTCCCTTAATTGATAGACGGATATCTCAAATAGACAGGATGAAAAACTATTTGTGTATATATATGAAGAAATACCACAACGTACGATATGGGGCAAGATAAAGGAAATGAATCTGAGACAATCTCACTAAAACTAAGTAACTATGCAATCATATTACATAAGGTATAAAAGAAAAATAACATTTTTATAACGAAAGATCGTATTTCTCGAAATATACATATGTACAAGACAAGGAAATATAATTTTTTTTAGAAAAAGTGCACGACACAGTTTAAATACACTGAATATATATATATATATATATATATATATATATATATATATATATAGGAGAGAGATAGAGAGTGAGACAAGTTAAGAATTATGATACCGTTTGTTCATTTCCTCCACCTCCTCGACCAAGCATACCTAAAAGGAGGTAAACAAATATGAATATAATACAACCTTCCGATTGCATTTTCATAAGATATATATGACGTACAAACACGAGTAATCCGAATCGCTACTCACTGATGAAATAAACTATTTCTTTATAATCCACTTGGTAAGTATACAAATATATGTAAATGGTGGAGTTACAGTTTAGTTGTACAAAGGTAAGTGGAGTGAGATTCAAACTTGAGAACTAGCGGTTGCTAGTCGGAAGAATAAACTATTTCAGAAAATTGAATTAGTTTACGAGTAAATTTGTTTAAGAATAATATCACCTGACGATTTTATGTAAGCATGTGAGAGTTGGGTGAAAGTTTCAACTATTTATCTAAGAATCCTTGACAGCGCGCTAGCAGGCTGGGTGAGTAGGTCTAGACATATTATTTCCCTATGTCTCAAAGCTAAGAGGTACGTGAGAAGTCATAAGCGAGGCACGCTATTAAGGGACAGTGATTGTGCTTCTAGTCAAGGTCTTATGCTGGATATTCTTATCTGAGTTAGAAGGACACATACATTAATACCAATAGCTTTCGAACAAGTTTATTCAGTTTTTGTCCATTAAATCATCCTAGTCATTTCAGTCTCCTCACTTGCATAGCTTGTTGGGTAATTGTATGGGAAGCGTGTTTATCTGAATTGAATGTCCATGATCATAACACAAACACTTGACCCTATTTACATAACAACTTACAAATCTTAAAGTTTCAGTGATAGTGTTATTATTGATGATACATCTGTCAATATCTAGATACTGATAGACAACAGTGAGATCAACACTTGACCAGTTACCGGAAATCTACTCATTTTTTAGATACAAGCGACCCGTTCTATATGAGGCAATGGCAACCGTTAATGCAGAAAACTGTAACACCTGTAACATGTGAACGTTTTGAAATCAATCCACTTTTTTTGCCAGCTGAATCTATTTTTGTCCATAGGAAATCATGTTTAAATTATCAACCGATTATTTAACTGACCAGGACGAAATTTTCGACCTATATCAATATTGATTTTATGGGAAAAATTTTTTTACCAAGATGAACAGTGAGATAAATGCATCATCATGAGATTGGGATTTATCAACAACTTTGAAAAGTTGAAAAATTTAAGAAAATTTCAAACTTAAACTACATACTGTGATTTTTTCAACACAGCATACTATCCTATTGTGAAAAGATAGCATCATATAATCTTACGTCAAATTATGGATATTGAGTTGGGATATATGGTGTCATATTACATTATACACCCTATAAGTAAACTACATATGCAATCTGAATGCTCATAATGAAGAGAAAAGTGTACTATATCCGTACTAAAAAGTATTGAAACAAACAATACGTACATTATAAGCAAAGATGGATAGTGGCTAGCAGTGGAATCCAGGACGCACGTTTCGTCTTATCTGGGACTCGTCAGTTGGATGTACTTGCATCCCAGAGTTGATGTTCACTCTGGGACTCGAATACAGTACCGTTCGCTCCAAACGCCATCTTTGCTTATAATGCTTGTGAATTAAGGCAATATCGAGGCAATACGCACAGTACGCACATATGCTAATTGCAGCCCTAAACAGTGATGGGAAGATTCAAATAAATAATACCAAGTGAATTTAAATAATACGTACCTTCTTAATTTATAAAACTAAAGACAAAAATAATATGTTTTCTTCACCTTCATATATTTTACTCAAATGTATACGTATACACAACCATAAATTAAGTAGTATATATTTTGATAATCCACCATGTATTCGAATGAATATGTTCAATTAATTTAAACAATAAATTAGTCACAGCGAATCCAACCTATTATACAATAACAAGAGATTGAACTAACCAACTTATGATACTTTATGTGATTTTAAATGACCTACTTACATCACAACTATGTAATTCTTGAAACATGTTAAGAATGAACTATATGACATTTGAGAAGAAAAATACCTATGAAGTAATCTACATTACGTATTCAAAAAACTCGGACATATACTTTTTCAAAGGTATTAATAAGCTACACTATTAATTTGAATCGGAATACAATAAAAAATTAAGTCTCAGATTATTTTCAAGTGAAAATTTTTGTGTTCATCTAGTTGTTGATCAGTCTACTAGTTAACAGAATCATAAAAATTACCTCATCAAATGTAACGGATCAATAGGTTTGGTTGACTAGATCTATCTGAATATTTTCTCACGAAGACCTTTCAATTTTCCTGGGTCTATAACGAAAGGTGAATTTAATCAAACTGCTATTTGTATATGTGATCAAAAAATACGGTACTCACTAATTATATTATTTACTAAACCTGTGTCATTTTTTGTATCCCTTCCTTACAAACGTGTGCTTTGAATTCGTTCACATTGAAATGTGTAGCGTATATACTTATATTTCAGATCCATTTATGATTTTCCATTGTGAATTTGTGAACTAGGTTAGTTGACAAATAATGATATCTAATGATTTATTATTAATTTAAACACATAAATATTGGTACAAGGAGGCACCAAATAGGTATGCTCCACATAAATCATTCGATTCGTGTGAGAGCTGAAATACTGCTCAGGTGACAAACCGAAGCAGGTGGTTTCCTTAGGCAGCCACACCCAGAGCCTTCGACCTAAACTATGATCCATAAGGCAGTGGAGCAACGTCAGGAGATGCAGTCCCATGGTAGCCGGTGACCAACGATTGGTTCATACGCTATTGGTTTCCTTAGGGTCCTGGAGTCTATGTGCACCATTAGTTTTGAGTCAGGGTTTTCCAACTCCCCTAGGTGGACTCTCTGTGTCCAACAACCCGGTTAAAGCTCTGGTCAGTAGATTTTTGTCCTCCCAATTTCGTAAACAACACCCTCACTACGAGAAGGCAGTGAGTAGGACTTCCCTGACAGTACTTGTATGCAAGTGGCCATGTGGGAGTATTTCGAGAGGGAGAGCTGACTCTCCACACTTTCGCCCGTACCAGAGTATTTGGGGGGTAATGAAAATATACACTAATTTTCGAAAATCGATCATTTTTCCGTTCGTGTATGTCTTATTAGATAAAATATCAAAATAATAATGTGTCAAAACGACCAATTTATTTACAAAAAAAAATATCTTTATCAATGTTTTTCTGTTTACAGTCGGTAAATGACTAATAACAGTATATTTTAATTATTATTGAAGTGATTGGTTTAAAAGCTGATCCAGCTCTAATTTAGACACTCAAATAGCAGGTATCATTAGACCTTACATAAAAGTATGGCTTTAAGTTGAATATACCAACTTGTAATTGGTTACTGAGATAGATCTCATTAAAACACATGGTTAGTAATCATTTCCTATTATATGACAGCTCAGTGGAGTAATGGTTGAATCAGACATATGGTTACTTAAATCCATCGAACATAATATGCGAAGTACGTACAATGCTAAATAAAGTGAAACTACTATAAAATTTATTTCGATATCTGCAAACACACTCGTCCGAAAATGTTGTCCTTATGTAAAAATTCTCAACACCTTAAAGTTAGATAGGATTTGTGCGATGCTGATAGATGACTATTCAATTCCCGACCGAAGCTGCTACCTTGACGCGGTGGTCGGGCTTGCCTATCGTGATGACCCAACCGAGCTATATTGGCTGGAACATATGTTCCTGTAGGTCCTACCATGCCAGGCAGGTCGATTGGTGAACGGTAAGACTAAAAGCAGCAACTCAAGGTCTGAGGGCGAAGTCGTACTGCTGACTGTAGAGAGGTGTGACAGCAGTGAGGTGTTTCCCTCGGACAACCAGCATGACAGCGATATTGCCTTCCCACAAGGAGGGGTGGGGTTAGAAAAGGTCGACCCTAAAAATGCACACCTCACCTCACCTCACGGATTTCCGTCTCCGGCGGTAAGGCCGTTTGAAGAACGGAGCTAACATGTCAAAAACCTTCCACAGAAAGGCCGTGCGCGACCGGCCTCAAGCAGTTGTTCCTTGGGCTCTGCGGTCACGCTCCCAGGTCGTTAAGACCAACACTAATCCAATTTCCTTTTCAGGTTCCTCAAGAAATACCCTTCCACGGTGTGGGCAGCCGGGAAGTGACATCAGCCCTCATACCCGTAACAGCACACGAGACCAAGTTGGTCACATTTAAATCCTCCCTACACCCCATAATACCTCTCTTATCTCCATGACTAACCCTCCTCACGTCTCTTTATCACCTCGCACCGCTAGGGCAAACGATTCGAGTTCGTGGAACGCTATTCCTGGTCTCCTGAAACCACGCTCTAAACTACACGTAGGAGCTTTTAACGTACGACTGAACGGAACAGTAAGAATCCGGAAAGATAGGGACACTCGTCGTTGCCTTTTCGTCGTCTCTGCCTATTCTCCCACTGACTACAGCCCAGATGATGTAAAAGATGAGTTTTACAGAAAGCTTTCGGACCTTCTCCGAAAAGCTAAGCGCTCGGATGTAGTAATAGTGCCCGGTGACTTTAATGCTCAAGTAGGTAAACTAAGCGATAGGGAAAGACACCTAGGTGGATCTTATGGTGTCGTGGCTCAAAGAACAGATAATGGCGACCGTCTGTTGCAGCTATGCTCAGATAACCGCCTGTTCCTTGCAAATACTAACTTTAAGCATAAAGAAAAACATCTTTTAACACGGCGACCCCCTAATTCGTCCCAACGTTGGACCCAAATAGATCACATCGCTATCAGCCACCGATGGAGGGGCTCGATAGAAGACTGTCGCTCATTCTGGAGCACATGCTTAGATTCAGATCATGCTCTAGTGCGAGCGCGTATTTGCTTGCGTCTTACTGGACGTAGGAAAGACGCTGCAAGGAAACCTCTTAGGGGCCTACTTAATGATAGTCAAGCTAAGAGTATATTTCAGGAACAACTAGGAAAACCGTTAGGCAGCCATGTATGTGATCCCCACCCCGATGCAGCATGGAATGATATCCGAAAAGCTGTGGAAATAGCAGTGATATCTGCTAGTAAGGTAAACCAGAAGGTTAGGGAGCAACACTGGATCTCAGCAGCATCTATCTCACTGATAGATGCTCGGAAACTCATTCCACCCGGCTCTGAACATAATGAAGAGCGGAGTCAGCTTAAGCGCAAGCTGACAAGAAGTCTACGCAATGATCGCGAACAGTGGTGGGTAGCGAAAGCAAGAGAGATGGAAAAGGCAGCGGCAATAGGTAATAGCAGACAATTGTTCAGACTCGTTAAGGAAACCGGAATTAGGAACCCGACCGTTAGCGAAAAAATCTCAGAAAAAGATAAACATATTATTCATTCTCAATCCAGGAGATTGGATCGATGGGCAGAACACTTTAGGGATCAGTTCAACTGGCCTTCAGCCACACTTCGGTTTCCCACGATCTCTAGTCAACCTGAATGGCAAGTTAATGTAGGTCCTTCGTCCCTTTACGAAGTTGAAAAAGCCATAGGAAATCTGAAACGAGGGAGAGCAGCAGGCCCTGACAGGTTTACTCCTGAGATTTTTAAGGATGGTGGTCCAGTATTAGCAATGAGACTAACCGAGGTCTTAGGTAGAATTTGGGAACTGGACGTAATCCCATCTGGCTGGTCTCAATCACTGATTGTGCCAGTCTATAAGAAAGGACAAAAGTCCTCTTGTTACAATCACAGAGGAATCAGTTTGACTAATGTAGTGTCTAAAATATTAGCTTCAATACTACTTCGACGCCTAACCGAAGCTCGTGAAGAACAGACTAGAGAAAATCAGGCTGGTTTTCGACCTGGACGTGGTTGTATAGATCAGATATTCACACTACGTCAAGTTCTAGAACACAGACACACGTTCAGACGCCCCACAATGGTAGTATTTCTCGACCCCAAGGCAGCATTCGACTCTGTTGATCGTGAGGTTTTATGGCAGTGTTTGTCACTGAAAGGAGTACCAAAGAAGTACATTAACCTTATAAAGGCTCTCTACTCGAACACAACTGGTAGAGTGAGAGCTTATGGCGAACTGTCATCAGAATTGATTACCTCAAGTGTTGTTCGTCAGGGCTGTCCACTCTCTCCATTCTTGTTCAACTTTGTGATCGACGTACTTTTAGAAATAACACTCTCCTCATCTAAATTTCCAGGGGTTGAACTTCTACCGGGAGGTTCACTTGTTGACTTAGAATATGCTGATGACATAGTTTTATTTGGTGAAGACGCTGACAAAATGCAGTCTTCTGACCACTCTAAGCAACAATGCAAGCATGTTCGGGATGTGATTCTCCCTCTCGAAATGCAAAATGTTGCTTCAGGATTGGGTTGCATTGACACCCGAACTAATGATAGGGAGTGAAGTAGTTGAGCGTGTCGATCGCCTCACTTATCTTGGAAGTCTCATCAGCCCTTGTGGTTTGGTGTGTGACGAAATCTCAGCACGGATACAGAAGGCTCGACTAGCTTTCGTCAACTTGCGTCATTTATGGCGTAGGCGAGATATCCGTCAACCAACCAAAAGACGTGTTTACTGCGCAGCAGTTCGTTCCGTCCTACTTTATGGCAGTGAAACATGGCCGGTAAGAGTAGAGGATATTCGTAGGCTACTAGTATTCGATCATAGGTGTCTTCGAAACATTGCTCGTATATCCTGGGACCATCGAGTAAGTAACACAGTTGTTAGGAAACGGGTACTAGGTAAGAATGGCAAATCAATTGACGAAGTGGTGAAACTTCATCAGTTGAGATGGCTGGGACATGTGTTACGTATGCCCAACCACCGACTGCCTCGACGTGCTATGTTCAGTGGTATAGGAGTAGGTTGGAAGAAAGATGGGGGCGGCCAAACCAAAACATGGCACAAGTCCATGAAGTCACTGACAAGTGAACTGAGTCATGTTGGTAGGTGTAGACTACCTGGTTTGGGACCGCGAGATGATAGCAACCGATGGTTAGAGAGCCTGGATTACATCAAAATCGTTTGCAATGGCACAGGTGCATTCACTCTGTGTTCTCCCAAATTCTAATCTTCTGAATTCTTCCCGATTACTGCTTATACTCTTATTACCTCTACCACTACGGGATTTGAATAGACAATTGTATCTGTGTGCTAACATGGTATGACAACTCGAACTGATGTACGTACGTACGAAGTTCTACGTTGTTACTGACTGACTATTCAATTACAACAATGCACCTGCACATTCGTAAGTGATTGTTCGTGAGTTGCTGTCCAATAATTGATTCAATTCATCACGTCAGATAATCTTTATTACTAGCTAGACTGAGTTCCGTGTGATTTCTTTTGATCCACGAAATTCAAAATGGTTATGTGAGAGCAACAATGGTATGATACGAACAATAAAGTGTGAAAGACGATGTAACAGAAATGTATGGCTTTTAAGTTGCTCCAGAGATGTTTTCAACAATTTAGACGAATATGGGATAAGTATACTGTCACAAATGGAGAGTATTCTGAACGGTATACGATTAGCATAACCCAAATTTTCGTGACCTTAGTTCGGTTATTAAGTAGGTATGTTGTGTAAATTAAAGAACAATTACATTATTTATACACTAATTCCAATTCATATGAACGATTTTCAAATACCGTTTGTGGAAAATGAGAATTCTAATTCAGAACATGTTTTCAAATGAGTCAGATTGGGACATACAAGTGTTGGGTTTACTTTTATTCACGATTCAAATCGGTAGTGAAAAGAGTGTGAGAGTTGACGCATGAGACTCGGTAAATTCAATAAATAGTAAACTGAGAGACGATACATCAGGTGACAGAAACAATAGCTTGACTACCTGATAAATGTAAATAATGTATAACATTTAATAATGAGAATACCAGGAACGATTGGAAACGAATTCATTAAAAATAATCGACTCCATATATTTTGTAATGTGAAAAATTAAAATCAGTAATACCTCGAAAATCGATAGGAATAGTCCCAGTACGTTCCATTTCTAAAATGTGCTGATGGATTTCACGTAAACGTTTCTCATAATCCATATTTGTCCATACAGATACCAAAAGAACAGCTCTTCCAGCTATATGAGTGACCACTGTCATTAAATCACCTTTTGAAGATAATCGGAATTGATATCGTCGACCATCAATCAAAATTTCCTCGAAATGATAAATATTATAATGATCTAGATTGATATACTGAAACTTGTCTGAGAAGACTTCTTGGAGAGTATCAGCTTTAGCTTCAGGTAACTCAACTGACATGACCAATCTTAAACAAAAATTTACACAAAAGTTCGCAATTTTTAAAAGGATTCATTACTCACCGGTAGCAAAAGCAACTACCATACGACAGTAATAATTTAATAAATTGGATGGACCGGGCTATTTTACAGTGTTACGACAGCGTCATCCATTTTACAAACATCTAGTCAACTTTTTCGAAGAGTTGAAATAATAAGTTATCATTCGATCTAGAGGTTTTTAATTTGGTTAAGTTGGTCGCTCTTGACTCTCCATGGAGTTCAGAACACTTGTAAAAATTTTAAATAAGCAAGCACGTTGATGCGTTTGTGTACTGTGCTAATAATTCGGGACTCCAACTTCAATACCGTGAACAAAATGACTTTAATCCTCTTCTTTCTCCTCCCCACTAAGTAAAAATACAAGTTCTACAGATGAAGTTTTTGATTTTGAACTAGTTGCATGCCAAGAAAAAATGAATAGAATATTTAAAGTATTTGTCATTGACACAAACCATTGTAAAGGTATTGAAATTCCATGTATGATGTTCACACTAAATAATTTGCTGTAACACAATTCCGATCTAGTTGATATTGATTTACTTCTTATAGGTTGTGGTTTGAGATTGTACATCGTCAACACATATACGACATAGGACCAGTTTAAGTTGGGACTTCAAATCAGCCATAAACAACTGTTATTGTTCATAAACCTTAAAATAAACCTATAAACTGAATGAAATCTATATATGTATTGTTCTTCAATGAACAACCCACTGTAGCCACTATATTGACGTTGTAGTGAGGCTTGCCTATCGTAGTGACCCAATCGAGCTATATTGTGTGGAACAGTTACTTCTTAAGGTCCTACCGCATCAAGTAGGTTGGTTGGGGAACAGTAAGTCTAAAAGCGGCAAACCTATGGTTCGAAGAGGTCGTGCTGCCGACTGTGCTGAGGTGTGACGATAGTAAGTTGTTTCCTTTAGACAACCAGCACTTAGAGTGATGCTGCCTTCTCACAACGAAATGAATGGCTTGGGAAAGGTCGGTCCTAAAAAGACCAAGCTTACCTTATTACACAACTCTTCGACTCCGAACGCAAGATCTTTTGGAGTACAGAGCTAACACATCATAAGCTTCTCACCACCTACCCTCCTGTCTAATGACTCAATCCTCATGCGCCACTAATGCTAACTATGCGAGTACAAAAATGTTACTTTCAGTCTCTTAAAAAAGCGCTCTAAACGACGTGCTGCATCGCTTTATGTTTGAAACTTACGTCAAGTTTCTCAAAATGCGGCATTGATTTATCTAACTTCACTTCTTTTGCATCTATAACAATCTCTACTAGTCTCGCAACTTTCTCTGTGCTAATGTGGTGTGGCAACTCGAACTGATGTACGTACGTACGTACGAAGTTCTACGTTGTTACTGACTGACTGACTCGTAACTTAAACCTAAAGGTTAGGAAAAATCAGTGGATTTTGGTGGGATCTACTAAACCGATATACGCTCGGTAAATCACCTCGTCCGGCTTCGAACACGATGAGAAACAGAGGCAGCTTAGACTTAGGGTGACAAAAAACCTACTCAATGATCGTGGGGAGCGGTCAGTAGCGAAGGCAGTAGAGATGGTAGGCAGCGGTGATAGGTTAAAATAGTTAACTGTTAAGGTTTATCATGCAAACGGGCATCAAAAATCTGACTGTTAGTGAGACTATCCTGGAAAATAATTATACTGCTATTCACTTTCAATTCAGGAGGTCAGAACAATCAGCAGAATGCCTTAGCGGCCTACAGTCACACGTCGGTTACACACTATTACAAAGCAATATCAATGGAAAATTATTATAAGTTTTTCAACTCTTGGTGAAATTGTAAAGGCTGTAGATGATCCGACCCAAGAGAGCATCAGAGCCTGATAGATTAAGTCCTCAGATCTTTAGGGATGTTAGTCCAGCTTTACCGGTTAAGTTAACTGAAATCTTAGCTAGAACCTGAGAACTGCATGAAATCTCATCTGACTGGTCTCGATCGCTGATCATCTCAGTTTATAAGAAGGGACAAAAATCGTTTTGTGACAATCACAGAGGAATCTGTTTAAATAAGATGTCTAAAATATTAGCCTCGTTAATACTTCGACGTCTAATTAGAGCTCGTGAGGAGCAAACCCGAGAAAACCAGGCTGGTTTCAGACGTAAACGATTATGTATAGACCGAGTATTCACCCTTCACCAGGTTCTGAAACAGACATACTTTTCGATGTCCGATTATAGTTATATTTCTTGACCTTAATACGGAGTTCAACTACGAAGATCGTGAGGTTCTGTGGCGGTGTCTATCATTGAAAGACATCCCAAAGAAGTACATTGACATCATACAGGCTCTCTTCTCGAACATTTCTAGTTGAGTCAGAGCTTGTGAAGAACTATCAGGGTCATCTGCTTCTTCCATTTTTATCCAACTTGTCATTGACATGTTATTAGAAGTAACACTTTGATTGCTTACCTTTTCAGGAGTTTTCCTATCGGGAGATTCACTTGTTGACTTGGAATACCTCGATAATATAGTTCTGCTTGATGCTAACACAATGCAGTCTTCTGACCACAATCAGAAAAACCATTCGCGCTTTAATTCTCAATTTCGCAAGTCATACTCAAGACTACTTGTTAATACTCATTTTTACTTTACATTGAGTCACTTGTCCGTTGCTTTATTTTGCAACTCAAAGCAGGTCACCTATGGTGGAAATCTTGCTTTATTTAAACGATTTCAAGTCACTGACTGGTCGAAAGTTGAATGCTATCACTAAGAATTCCGAACCAGCCTTTCTGAAACCACGTATGCCATTCGAACTGGCCTCCCTCAACTTTCCCACACTAATGCAAATCGGACAACAGATGGGGTTGACTATATCCTTAGAAAGTCTCAACATAGATGTCTGTTGTCTATCCAAGACTAGTGAAATACTACAAGTTCGATCTTCATCTGTTGCCCTGAAAAGCATGTTTACTGTGCATTGATCAGAGGACTCTGTGGCGTCTTCGTCTGGTTTTTCTTTCATTCATAGTTCCTCTCACTTTTGCAAAGTAAAAAATGATCATGTAAGGACCCCCACTGGCTTCTATTCCGAACGGCGTCGGATAATGTCCCAAACCGCTGAGTCGTATCTTGTCCGGGGCCCCAACCTGAGTTGTGAAAGGCAACAGAAGTCAGTCCTGTACAGATTTCTTTCATGCACTGGTAGCAATGTCTAACAGCAGCTGTTAATTTTTCCCACATTGTGCTGAAACTAGTTAAAATGTTAGTAGAAAGTCAATGGTGTGGGCGACTGTTTCATCTACTTCCTACCAAGGATGGTAAATGAAAGTTATTTACACCGGAAGGATCATAATCTTACCAGTGATAGCCAAAGTAACAAAATGTCCGAAATTGTCTCGGAAATCCGGTTATCCCTGTACGCGTTACTTGTGAATTCGGGCCTAAGCCCCAAATGCGATAAACACACTGTAACCAACTTATCGTTTTGGCGACCTAATCCAAACCAATTAATTTATTGGCACTTACGTCTTGATGTTTAGTTACAGTTCCATGTCTTTCATTATTCGATGTGGGTAGTCTTAAGACTTCACCGCACTGATCCAGGCGAATAGATTTATTTACAGGTCGGTATATCTTGAGTAATAGGGAAAGCCTTTGTCCTAAAGGAGCGGACTCGCTGGAACGAGTGAATATCAAGTTAGGTAAGAGTGGACTATACCGACGCCCCTTAGCGACTAACCAGCCACTCGGAAAACGCCGCCGAGTTATAAGACGATTAACGGTAAAAAGCAATAGAATAAGTGGAATAGTGGTTTTGGAATGATAGATTACTCTTCACATGTTAAGTTATTCATTATAGTAGAAGAAAAAGGTTGAATTTACACACTAGAAGTCTGAGAAGTGTTTCGAATCAGGGTTATAACCATGTCATCATTTAACATCAGCTATGATGTATAAGGGTTTGGGTTGGATGTTAGGGTTGTATGTCAAGATTACGGATTAGGATAAAGGTCCACATCCAGAACTGACATAAGCTATAATGCAATGATGCTTCTCAACCCATTTGTTCGCAAACTTATAAAAAATCGGGACGAATTTAGAGACAGGAATTAAGGTGAGAGAAATGCTATCTAGTTACAATGAATCGAATCAAATACTTTAATAAACAATTTGCATCGGTAAGTGTTCCTTGTGATTTAGCTTACGTATCATGCCGTGTTTACTGCCATATTGCGTCGTAGCATTCTAGTAACCAAATATAGCTATTCTTCAATTGGCTAATCATAACATACAATCGGACTAAAACTACACTCTTAATTATGCGCAAAATTATACGAGGCGGTACCCTAAATTGATTGATTACCTAGATGCATACGTTTAACCCACGTTGCGGAGGGGAAAAGTTTGGAAGTTTCTAACAAGAACGCTGAATAGCAACAGAAGACAATGATTCAAAACAAATTCGTTAGTTGAGTGTTTACGTACAACACGGTCTTCGTACCGAATCTGTAAGTTGCCTGATAATTTGTGGGTTAGCTTTCTAAAATGAGTTTTCTAGAGCTGATGCTTCTTAAGGTTACCAACAAACAGCCATCACAACGCTAAAGACCTGGAACCATACCGTAATAATCAACTGAGAGAGTAAAGGAATCATTAATGAGGTTATAACTTTTAGACAACCAGATCAGATATCAGACAGCGGGTTCCAAGCTTTGACGCAGGCTTAATTTATCCGGATGACTAATTAGCATTTTGGCACCAAAGGTGATCTCAGTAATGAAAACCAGGAACGTAAATAGTAACACTTATATCTAACCCAAACTCCCATTCCCACCATCCCAAACTAATTAATAACCCTATTTCTACCCTATTATTCTGAAGGAGTTTTATATGTAGGTTTCAGTAATGTGGGAAGGTCTTTATAATTATAGTCTCGCCGAAACTATCTGGTTTTAATTAGTTCGTCAGAAGGCTATTAAGTACTCATGCTGGTTTTCCGCCTTGTAAACTATGGAGAATAACTGCCGATGCACTATAATAAGGTGATAAAACCTAGTAAGTCAAGATAGATAAACCGGACGTCATGGTACGAGAAAACAAAGTAAGAACAATTAGAAAAACCACCAACCCGCCAAATGTCTTGAATTGATATCACAGCAAGAACTCGCTTTCACTGTTTCAAACAAAATAGTGTTTGAGTATCATTAAAATGACGAGTATTTTGAAATATCTGAGATAATACACTGTCATATCAAACATTCAGAGTGATATGAATATAAAGCGGACATTCCATTTGGTTAATAATAATTTAAAATGACTAGACCATTTATACATGCGTATTTATTCTTATGGGCTGAAGCTCAGCCAAAATTTTTGATTTGGAACATTTCATTCACATGACACTTTACGTAAACGGCACTATCTTTACTTATCCCAACTAACCTTGTAACCGTTTGTATGGTTTTATTATCGCACATATAAACTCCTTACTTTGTTTTAACATATCAAGGTAGTTCTAGCTTTGTTTTATCTTCGCCTACTTCTGATAGTCAGGTAAAATCTCAACATAAAATGACTTATGTTATGAACCATACATTTATTTCAATTATTTAATAGACTCAGATTTGGATTACAGCAATTCAAAAGACTGCTATATGTGTTCAGGAAGTATGCAGAAATGGCTATCAACGTCAATTATTGCTAATACAATTTTTCTCTCTCAGTTCCGTCAAGAATGATTATACTTGTTGTAGATAGAACTGTTTATGGTTATATACTAGAAACGTACACGATGTTCAAAGATAGTTTGACGCAGAACTGCCCCAACCTACACTTAATAAGCCACTATATTTACAAGTGTTCATCACCACCTTAGTAACGAAGTGAACTAAATGTTAACTGTTTTAGAGCTCATTTTCGCTTTGTAAAATGTGATTGTGATCTATTTCTGACTTGATAAATAGCGGATTTCACTTGTTTGAGGTTAAGTTGATACAACTAACCACATTAGACGGACTAAACTTTTACCCAGATTGTGGGCAGCAACTACGTCAAGCTACTAATAAACTGGAATAAAAGCCATGAACCAAGCAATAACAATGCGAAAATTGACGTGTGACGGCAAAAACGCCGTTAATGGCTGATATATAACAAAATCCAAAATACTTAATAACACATAACATGTGCGCGAGAACACGTAGCATACCTTTATGCCGTCCCCTGGTTGAAACTATCGTTTTGGGGGTGACTGTGAGTTGTTGATACTAAACCACCCAATTCTTTTGACACTCAAATACTGTATATGTGTTGAAAATGTACCTGAAAACTTTGAAATAATAAAACATATTTCCCAACCAGTTCCTGTGGCTTTATTCCGGAATAATCTTTCGGCTTATCAATAACCGTAAGATTATAATGAGTAGCAGTGGTGGTAGTAGCCCGTTGGCGACAGATAACACGTGGCTCAGCTATGCGGACTTGGTCACTCTACGTACCCTCTTCTTATTCATAATAAATATATTATTCAATCCCCAGATCAAATTTATTTTTCAGTGGTTCGTACGAACATGACCACTGACTGTCGCGATAGAGTGAGTCAATATAGACAGAACTTCGAAGGAAATTCTGACACCGAAATGACTGATTTATCAAAATCTTTAAAAATTTCTAAGAAACAACAAAAGGCAAAGACAACAAAAAAGAAAACTAACAACCATGTAGTACCTAAACAGCTAATGAAAAAATCTGCCAACAGTATTGAAAAACCGAAAAAATCAAAAGTTATCAATAAAACTTCAATTAAAACATTAAAATTGACTAAAAGCAAACAAGATTTTAAAAAAAAGAAGGCTGAGACGAAGTAGAATTTAACTATCGATAAGTGACTTTCATTTTTGGTAACTGTACATAGAAAAATGTTTTGATGAGCTCCCCCTTTTGGTATCCTATATCAACCTGGGTTTGCGTATCGAGACAGTTATCAGCGATCAGATCAAAGCATATTTATGTAGTCTCACTACTTGAATTCGTTCCAAATGAGATCCTGTCTAAGCTATGTTTCATGCCTTATCAGAGGATATCACTCTATACCACAGTCTGAGACATCCCACAACAATCTATTTGATTAAACGGGCTCTAGTATACTAATTTATCAATCTGTCATGTGTATTTTTATTTCATTGAACTGTATTCAACATTACTAAGATTATAAATGTGCATGCTTAAGGTTATTGTTGTTGACATCTACTCAAGAGGATCTTTATAGCTTAGAAGGATTTTTGAAAGTGTTTTTTTAGCTGGATAGTTTAGTTACGAAGCTTTCATTGTCCTCCTAGACAAGACCACCACATACTCCAAATAGATCACTTCTTGAAGTGTTGGTAATGTTGTGTAGAAAGGCATTAA